TGCTGTTCTGGGAGTTGAGGCTGATGTTCTCAGCTGATGTCAGAGAACAGACACAGCAGTCTCTGGGGGCCAGGAAGGGACTTGGAAAAGATCTGGGGAGGAAGAACTCTGATATGCTGTCGTGGTGTAGTCTCTAAATTAGCACAGCAGGTCTCATCTCTRCCACAGGAGAAAAGTCAAGGGGCTAAAGGATTTTTGGTCTGATACAAAATAATTGTTCTCACATTGCTGAAATACTGGAAAAACACCAAAAAATGGCATTATCTTCAGTGTTGTCTATAGGATGTTTTCTCTGAACTAATGGCTGTCCTGATGCTGGGTTGTTACATCAATTGTATTTCTTTCACAGATCTTTGGTTGGTTGGTGGTCTAATAATTTTTTTTTTTTTTTAATTAGTGTTATGGTACAGTTAATGGCTGTGCTTTTCAGGTATGATGGGTTTTTTCAGGGTAAAAATAAAAAGTATGACAGACACTTCTAAAGTGTGCATTTGAATAGGTCTGGTAAAGCAAAAAATATCCATGAAATAATGAGGCAGCACTGGAATAYTGCATTCTGACCATCAAAAAGGTCTGCACATATTTTTTTCCATGTGGACTACATGCTGCACGGGAAACAAGTCATGGTATTGCAGCTTGATAATTCTCTTTGTGCTCAGTACTTGGAGGGAATGAGGAGAGAAGGAAATGGGATCTCTAAACAAAAAAGAGAATGGTAGGCATATACTGGTAATTTTTCTATTAGCTTCATAGTGCTCATCATTTACCAGGATGAGAAAATTTTGAGTAAAAGTACCAGAAATAATTTTCTAGCAGTGCTTTTTAGTCTTGGCATATTTATGAATATTTCATGCACGACTTTTTTACTATTAAGATCTATATTTAAAATTTCATACTCAGCTTTAAAGTTTGCTCTGACTTGAAATAGACTTCAGAAAATAAATTTCACTTTCTTAAAAGAAGAAACACCAGAAAATTACAAAAAACTGAGAAAGGAAACTAGCCTTAATTACAGATGGAGGATTTTGCATTTCTTTTGAGGCTGATTGAGTTGTTTTTTAAATGAAAATCAGCATGTCATTTGGGCTCATTCCAGTGACTTAAACAAGTTCCTTGATTTTACCTTTGTCCACCGAGTTCCTCAGGTGCTTCAGTGAAAACACGTACCTTGAAAAATTGGACCTCCAGAGATAAAATAAGGCTGTAAAGACYGGATTGCTGAGACACACGCAGTCAGGCTTTCCTCTGGCAGCTGAATTGGCAAGAGCAGACGTGCTGCCCATTAAACTCCAATGGTGGAAAGTCCAGTTGGAGATGAGCTTATCTTAAACATAAGGGAATTAGTCCAGCTTCCATTTAAATCACTGGCAAAGCTCCAGCTATATTCAGCAAGGGAAGGGCTGAGGCAGCAGGCACACAAAACCCTGTTTCTAGGCCTGATCCCAGCTTTTCTTACACATCCAAAGCTCATGCTGAGTATTGTGGTCACTTTAGCAGGATTAGGCTGAGYGGATTGTTTGGGCAGATTTATATGGCCATTCATTGTAAGGAGTGTACTGATACAGTTCTCAGTGATGCACGGCTAATAAATATTCATTTGTTAAAATACAAGACACCTGTTGACAAGGTAAACTGTGATTGTTCCAAGCAAATTGCTCGAGTGTGGTAGAATGTCATGTCCAATAATTGGCTAAACAGCTCTCATGTTTCCTTAGCCCTGTTCCAGCAAGCACTCAGGCGTGTGTTTGCCATTAAGCACCTGCCTACCTCCACTGCAGTCAGTCTGACTGCCCTGCCCTGTGATTTGGAGAAATTAGACCTAAATTACTTGGAGTGCACTGTATTCTCACTGTGGTGTCCTCTGGGAAGGCAGTGGCACCCAAACATGATGCTGGGTTTGATCAATTTGTAGGGGCAGACACCTGAAGCGCCTGTCACTTTACACCTGGAGGGTTTGAGCAGCAATCTTGGACACTCATTGGTGCCAGAAGGTTCTCATTTGTCACCWTAGCAGTGGTGACAGGAGTGTCAGCCCGGGATGCAGGGCCAGCAGTCACCTGTGGACTGTATGAGCATGCACAACACCTGGGGCTGCTCAGCTGATAATGGTTATCTTCTTATTGCTTATGGTTATGGATATTATCAGTGACAAAAAGATACACCTGAGCAGTGGGTGGAGGGCCCAAAATTTAACTCAAACTCCAGCCTGAAAAATGKAATATGCCATCTTTATTTAATGCTTCTCAATATAGATATCACAAAACCAYAAGAAACGTTAATGTTTCCTTACGTAACGAAGTCACCAGTATTGTGTGTATGGACATTCCAGTTCACTGAGTTTGCTGCTGGGCACAGGAATATGATTCAGGTTCCTTAGCAGGATTTTGAGATGAGGGAGGGAACTGGAGATGATGTAATGGATTGTCCTCTGCTAACAATGTGAGGACCAATTAGAAAGTACAAATAAGCGACATTACTTAAAAAGAGAGGTGATAAAAAGAACACCCGTCATAGAAAGATGAGGCACTAAAATAAATCACGTTAGAAAAGAACTAGGGATTTGAATTTGCCACCCACTGAAMACAATAGCAAAAACCCCACTGAATTAAATGCCTCAAGCCCTTGTACAGGACTGATTYGATGCTATTCATAGAATAACGTATATCCTAAATAATGCTGTTATTTGTCAAGTAAATTATTTGTCAGATCCATCATCCTGCCACTTCTTTTCTGGCAGAACTCCCACTGAAGTCAATGGGGGTATTGTTTRAAAAAAGTCTTTTAGGATTGGGCCYGAGGTTAAACAAAATGCAACTGRGGGTAACTTGTTCATCTTCCTTGGGTTCATAAACCCACATGCTGGACAATAGTTTGGCAGCTGGGGTACTGTGCCTTATGATGCTAATTTGTTCTGTCACTGATGCTGATTATTTCCTCATTTCTTAGTCTACCTGTTGCCACCTCGATTCGGGGTCTGATCCTGTTAATGTGTGTGTGTGTGTGTGTGTTAACTTAAACCTTGCTGGCTGTATAACCTGTCTTGATGTCCATGGGCTCTGGACTTTGCGGGGTCAGCCCTTTTGGTGTGCTGTCTTGTTCCACGGTGTCCTGGGCTTTTTGTGACCTTGGAAAACTGCAGGATGAGCCAGGGACTGCAGCTCTGAGCTGGGTGAGCAGAGGGCTTTCAAGGTGAATTKTTCTCTACTTTTGAATTAAGAAACCTGATTATATGGCTGGTCTTGTTCTTTCAGTTTTTTTTTTCTTTTTATTTACAAGTTAAATGGTCTACATCAAATTGTTTGGGTTTTTTCCCCTAAAAATGCGAAAATTAATCACTTGTCTCGATAGGAAAAACGTTAATACAAGTAAATTGCTTAAAGGATTTGCACTTCTAGCTATTAAAATACAGCTCAGCGTTTGAGCTCAGCCTCTCATTACTACCTATGGGAATGTATAATGGTTAAATTAGCTGCAGGTGGGCTCCCCTGCTGCTCCAGAAGCACATTAGAAGCATCTTGAGGGTTGCAAGTAACCCTAAAGAAATCAGACATAACAGCCTCAAACAATAGTCATTCTTGGAGCTGGTAACGTGCTCCATATACCTGAGAGGTACTGTGCAAATGGGACTCTTTGTGGGAGACCGCTCAGGTTTGGCTTCTMTGGAAATTGAATGTTTTTGTGAAATGGAAAATATTCAAAGGTGTTGAGCATAGTTCTGTGCTCAAACGTGTGGTAAAGCAGTTGACACCSAAGCCTGTGAGGGCAGTGAAAAGAYCTCAGACCACCTCTCTGAAGGTGGTGCTATCCCCAGGACAGGGCTACGTGCCCCCAAACCATATAGGATGGAACTGCTGCCGACTTTTGTACAAATGAACAGTTTCTACCTGCGGTTGGTGTGTAAGGATATGTTTTTGAAGTAAAGTTTCTAGTCTCTGCAGGGACCGTTAGCTGGAGTTAACATTTGTCCCTTGAAGACTCTTCCATGTCATCTGCTAGGAATTTCAGGATCGAAACGAACCGTGCACGAGCGCGCAACCTGCAGTGCCGGGGAGCTTTACAGCACTGTTGTGTTGGGGGTTTGCGCTGTGCCCCGCGATCCGAACAGGGTGCGCATCTCCCTGGGTGCCGATGTGCGTTCTCTCGGCACTCTGGGCTGGCTCGCAGTGATCCTGAAGCGCTGCCCGGCTGCGCACAGACCCCAGCGCTGCTCGCTGCAAACTTCAGCGCGGCTGTCCCGCGGGGCCGGGGCTCCCTGACGGCTCCCGGCCCTGCCCCCGCCGCGCTCGGGGGGCGGTGGAGCCCCTCGGGCCCCGAG